CACGTGGGAGGCTTTTGTGGATGCTTTCCAAGAGAAGTACTTATCTCCAGCTGTCAGGGAAATAAAAAATAAAAACAAACCAAGACCAAAACATCACATCATTGTGAGTGGAGCCCACTACCAACTCATTAGAGCTACCTTTAGAGCTTAAAAATTAGAGCTCCAAAGCATTTTTCTTTGTTTTGTGTCTGTCTGTTGAAGAAATTAGGGCAAAATGAAGCATATCAGAAAGAAAAGGGGCTGCTGCTGAGGCGTAAAACAAAAATAAATAAAATAATGTGGCATGGTCGGGTCGGGCCAGCTGGGTAAAGTGGCGGATGATCCGCACCCAACCCGAACCCAAAAAAATACAAATACCTGGCCTGCACCTGTCCGCCACTTACTACGTATCCATTATTGGTTGAATCGGGTAGGGCGGTTCTGGAGGAACGGTGGATCCGCTGCACAGCCCTAACAACAACCAAGGTCGTCTCTATCAAATATTTTCTCTCATCTTCTTTGTTGCACCAATTCATAGATCTGGGGCATTTCTCTTATTCTTTGTTAACCTACAACAACCAGCGATGTAGCACCTACTCATTATTATAGCTATGATAATTTTTTAATCAATTATATTTGTCCATGTATTTATTTTTTTATTTAAATTCCCACAATTAAGGTATGATTTAAAAAGTTCAAAAATATTAGAGATTTTAAAAATTCTATTAAAATTTTTATTAAATATCTTACATGAGTGTGGGACTTACATGGCATGGGTCCTACACCCATATAAAACATTTGATTCGGGCTCAACATTAGAACTTACAAAAAATGTTGATTCGCTTGGAGGACCCATGACTAAAAGATCATCAAATATACAGCCAAAAACCAATAAGAAATCATTCAAAATATGTTTTGCAAATGCATAGAAACTAGAAGCATTCTCAATATCCTATAAATTGATTTCATAGTTAATGTATTTACCATTTTATTTTTCTTTCTTAATGCAGATTGACTATGACTTTGTACATGATCCAGTGAGTACAAAATAATGAATGAGAAAGAAAAAAAAAATGGAATGCTACAGGCAGGGCTATTCCTGTACCTGAAGTGTTAGTAAAATATAACTTAGTAACAACTTTAAGCCTCCCAGCCTTGCAGTAGAAAGCAATTTATTGGAAAATTTATTGTAGCTCTTACAAAAGGTCAAATTGACCTTTCTAGCTAATATGATTAAGTTTTTTATGAATACTTGAAAAGACATTCTTTCACTTGACCACAAAACATGTTATCACAAAACATGTTTTTTATGAACTCTGTAGATTACCTAATAGATTACCCAATTTGACCTTTCTAGCTAATATGATTAAGTTTTTTATGAATACTTGAAAAGACATTCTTTCACTTGACCACAAAACATGTTATCACAAAACATGTTTTTTATGAACTCTGTAGATTACCTAATAGATTACCCAATTTGACCTTTCTAGCTAATATGATTAAGTTTTTTATGAATACTTGAAAAGACATTCTTTCACTTGACCACAAAACATGTTATCACAAAACATGTTTTTTATGAACTCTGTAGATTACCTAATAGATTACCCAATTTGACCTTTCTAGCTAATATGATTAAGTTTTTTATGAATACTTGAAAAGACATTCTTTCACTTGACCACAAAACATGTTATCACAAAACATGTTTTTTATGAACTCTGTAGATTACCTAATAGATTACCCAATTTGACCTTTCTAGCTAATATGATTAAGTTTTTTATGAATACTTGAAAAGACATTCTTTCACTTGACCACAAAACATGTTATCACAAAACATGTTTTTTATGAACTCTGTAGATTACCTAATAGATTACCCAATTTGACCTTTCTAGCTAATATGATTAAGTTTTTTATGAATACTTGAAAAGACATTCTTTCACTTGACCACAAAACATGTTATCACAAAACATGTTTTTTATGAACTCTGTAGATTACCTAATAGATTACCCAATTTGACCTTTCTAGCTAATATGATTAAGTTTTTTATGAATACTTGAAAAGACATTCTTTCACTTGACCACAAAACATGTTATCACAAAACATGTTTTTTATGAACTCTGTAGATTACCTAATAGATTACCCAATTTGACCTTTCTAGCTAATATGATTAAGTTTTTTATGAATACTTGAAAAGACATTCTTTCACTTGACCACAAAACATGTTACCAATTTCAGTAGTTTGCAACAAGCACATGATCAGCTCAAACATAGTTCTGCAACCTAAGAAATAAGAGGAAAGAACAAAAGGATGCCCTTGAATACTAAAAACAATATAAAAATAAATGTTCCGACATTGCAATTGCAGAGAGTCAAAGACTACTAAAGGCAACAAATAAATTCCCAGAAAAGTCTAAAAACAGAGTGGTAAGCTTTCACCAAGGAAATTAAGGCTTAACTGTACATACACACATAATCCTTAAGCTTTCTAGGCCTAGCAAATTATCAATTCTAGAAGTATATAGCTATTTCAACATCAATAAGCTAGAGCAAGTTTTAGCCAGTAATTTTTTCTTTTGAAATCAATACAATAAAGAAAACAACAAAGAAACAGAGTTCCTAAATAGAGAAGCATGAATAATTAGGTAATCTACAAAACTAACCTGGCAAGAAAGGTCAAATGGAGACAATATAACCTCTGCAGCTTTCCGAATCGGCTGTGTTGTAATCTAGAAAACCCAAATTTAAGAACCGTCATAAGAACAGTCAGAAGGGGAAAGGTGAAAAAATCAAAAACCCAGAAAATGGGGAGAAGAAGAGAAAAAGAGAAGAGGAGAAGAGAAGAAGAGGAAAGAAGAAGAAGAAGAAGAAGAGAGAGAGAGAGAGAGACCTCAGTGTTGATCGCCGTTTAGTGTAGATCAATCGGCGTTTAGTATAGATCGATCGCCGTTCGGTGTAGATCGTCGCACGATGGGTAGGGTAGAATTTGAGAGAGAAGAGAGAGACGGTGTCTGTGTGTTGTGTTTTGTTTTGCGTCTGTCCGCCGAAGAAATTAGGGCAAAATGAAGCATATCAGAAAGAAAAGGGGCTGCTGCTGAGGCGTAAAACAAAAATAAATAAAATAATGTGGCATGGTCGGGTCGGGCCAGCTGGGTAAAGTGGCGGGTGATCCGCCACCCAACCCGAACCCAAAAAAAAATACAAATACCTGGCATGCACCTGTCCGCCACTTACTACGTATCCATTATTGGTTGAATCGGGTAGGGCGGTTCTGGAGGAACGGTGGATCCGCTGCACAGCCCTAACAACAACCAAGGTCGTCTCTATCAAATATTTTCTCTCATCTTCTCTGTTGCACCAATTCGTAGATCTGGGGCATTTCTCTTATTCTTTGTTAACCTACAACAACCAGCGATGTAGCACCTACTCATTATTATAGCTATGATAATTTTTTAATCAATTATATTTGTCCATGTATTTATTTTTTTATTTAAATTCCCACAATTAAGGTATGATTTAAAAAGTTCAAAAATATTAGAGATTTTAAAAATTCTATTAAAATTTTTATTAAATATCTTACATGAGTGTGGGACTTACATGGCATGGGTCCTACACCCATATAAAACATTTGATAGAAATTTTGGTAGAACTTTTGAGGTCTTTAGCACTACTGTAAAAAGTTATCTATTTTAATATGTTACTTTAATTTTTAACTATTTTAATAGATTAAAATATTTATATTTGGAAAGAGGAATGCATTTTTTTTATAATCGAATGTGATGTTTGTAAGAAAAAAGTTAAAATGATTTTAGATTTAATGTGATATTCTGTCTTATTAATTATTTTAATTTATTTTGTCTTTTTGTAAATTTTAATCAAAAAAAGATAATTTTTGACTTCCCAAATAGCCCTAAGTCTGAGATTGATGAGCAAATAGGCCCGGTGTGGGGAGATGGTTGAGACTAATTTAGCCCGTTAAAACATAAAATAAATTAAAAAGTTAAAATGTTACATTTAAATCATAATTATTTCAGTTTTTCTCTCACAAAATTAGAAAAAACTAAAAATATTCCAAACAAAACTTTTTTAAACAAACTAAAATAACCACAAAATAATAATAATAATAAACTAAAAAGTCAAGTTAAAAAAGTTAATTCCAAACGAAGTTATAGTAGTCTAGCGGCAAATTCACATTGTGACTTACCTTGTTATTATTGTCATTGATTGGTTAAAGTTGTGAGACTCAAATTTTTTTTTTTTTTTGTTAGGATTGTAGGAGACAACTTGACACTTGTCAAGTGATAAGTAGTGTGGAGTAATGCTTTACGGCCACCAAATAATCACTCCATATCACGTGGTCATATCACCATTCAATAAGCATTATTAATTTGTGGTAGAAATTATAATTTTTTTTTTTTTGGATTAGTGAGAGATAAGGATTGGCTACTTATGTATTTGCGGCTTTTTAATTGCGACAAGTGATTGATGATTAGAAAATAAATGAGGGAGAGAGTTTACTTAGATATTTTAATAGAGTGCCACATCATTCGATCTAGGAAGTGAGTCTAATTTTTTAGCCTGAATAGCAATGCTTATATATATATATATATATAATAGTGTAATGTCTATGTTATGCACGGCTAATACATTTATATTATTAGCCCTTTTTTATATTGTCATAAAATAAAATAAAAAATTATTGTGTAGCACATGAGGACAAAAGAAATTTAAATTAGTGTGAAATATTGACTAATAATAAATTGTTGACAAATTAAAGAATTAAATTATTTCAAAATTAAATATGGATCAATCTAGATAATAATGTAATAATGGTTCATTATGATTTATTTCATTTTGACTTGAAAATGTTATAATGTGCATCGAGCATATAATAGTTTTAAGTGCCACATTTATCAATTCCCAAAAGTAAAAAAAGTAGTTGCGAGAAGTTCTTTTTTTAAAAAAAGCACTAAATTATTCTCAATTATCAAGAACCAAGTAAATATATTTTAGTGATAAAATTTTAAAAATGTCATTAAAAAATATATTTTTAGGGATAAAATAATTTAGTTCTTATAATATTTAAACAAACAAAAAAAATAGTAATTCATTACTAAATGTATAAACGATAACATTTTTTGCAATAAAAATTTTTGGTCCTTAAAACTTATTTTTGTCCATAAATAAACTCCTGTTATAGTGATATGTGAAAAAAGAATTTTTGTCTAAAATTAGTTAGTCCCTACAAGTAATTTTTCCCTTAAACTTTTGCCTGTGTGCATCGCAAAATAATTCTATAATTTAATAGATTCTTTTAAAATTTCCATTCAGAAATAATATTAATCTTAAATCTATTTCAAAAAATAATTGTTTCCATTGTCTTCTAATAATAATTTAAATTATAGATTGTAATCAACATTATTAGCCATGCTAGATTTAATATTTGTGTTTTGCTTGAAAAGAAAATGAATCGGAATGGAAGTATAGAAAAATAATGTTGATTTTCCAAGCAAAATATTAATAAAATATTACCATTTAGCCAATGTGCTATTGTTTTTTTTTTTTTTTTATCAGCAAAGGAAAAAGAACTTTATTGATGAATTATAAGATAATGACATCAATAAAAAAAAGAAGAGAAGGATGAGTGCAAAAAATATCATAACGAACCAAATCAATTCCAACTAAGTTGGCATCATAGCCAATGTGCTATTGTTGTAACTTGTAACTTCTGCCACGTTAGTATCCTGTTGAATTTGGTTAGAATACAGATGCATTACATTTGTTTCGAAAATATCTTGATGTGTGATGAAATGTTGATTACCAAAATCTAAATAAAAAATTAATAAAATTATTACTAAAAACTTTAATAAAATTATTTTTAATTATTTACGTATCATCAAAATATATTTTTGGGAACATAATAAATTGGTGTTGAGCACGGTTAAGGTTCTACTCTAAGGAATAAAGGAATGTGGTTAGTTTATATGCAAATGCATGCCTTATTTGATGGGTTTAATGTTATTATTTTGAGGGCGTTACAGATATTTACATTAAATTCATAGCAATCAAAATATTTTTATTAATATTTATACTTAATGTGTAGCACGGGTTTAAGAAAATTTTGCTTTAAAATAAAATGTATTTTTAATAATAAAGTTATTAGCCTTGCATAGAACTGTTAAGGTTTAAAGTTTGTGTTTTGCTTGAAAAAGAAAATGCATGGGAATGTCTAAATAAAAATATTAATAAAAACATTTTGGTTTTCCATTGAAGCAAAATATTAATAAAAATATTACCATGTAGCGAATGTTTTATTGTTGTAACTTGCGCCACATCAGTAACTTGTTCCATTCCATCCATGAATACAGATTTGATTCATTCTTAAAAATTTCAAAATAATAATTCAGTTAAAACAAATGTAATGAGGACATAATTGTAAGAAAAATGTAAAGAAAAATCAATCATACAAAATAATGATATACCAATAATGTACTAATAAGTTATAAATCTTAAAAGTCTGACATCATAAAAGAAAATAATATAAATCTAACATAATAAAAGAGTTATAAATCTAACATCATAAAAAAAAGAAGTTGCATAGCCTCTCAAGATCAAAGAATAGTAGAAGACTGAAACATGGGTAGTGATTTACCTATCAAAGATTAAAGAAGAATTTGACACTCTGTTTGGATGAAGGAGTTCGATGAGAAAAGAAAAAAATTTGTGAGAATTGAAAATCCATCACTTGTTTGGATGGTTAAGTAATTTGAAAAATTGTGAGAGATGGTGAGATGGATTCTCACCAAACTTGTGTTTTGTTTCTCATCAAAAGTTGTGATATTTGTTGGGAAAAGAATTAGGTTTAATGAAACTTGTTTAAAATACCAAAACTACCCTTACGAAAAAAACATAATTTATTAATATGAAAGGTTATTTTGGTAAAATGAATTAAAACACTTTCTTTTCCTTTTACTTATTTACTCTATTCAAATAAGATAGATGAGAAATCACATTCTCTTCTCTTTTATTTATCCAAATGGTGAGAAATATGACATTTCTTTTCTTTTCTCACTTAGGTGAGAAATTACAATAATTTTTTTTCTTACCTCCTCTCACGATCGAAACAGAGTGTAAAGAAAAAAGAATAATAAAAGGCTACATTATAGAATTACCATGACAAAAACCGTCAGTATTGATTTACTTCCCATAGAATTATTATTATAAGAATAGAAGACCGAAGAAAAACGTATGGGCATTGAAGGTAATGGAAAATCTTTTGAATCAAGTTTTTGTCATTTATATAATTATTGATTCTGTTGTTGTAGTGATTGTAATTCCATAACTATTGTTATATTATTAGAAATCATTAAAACAATTTAAATATTATTTTAATTTAGAAAAATTACTCATAAATCTCATTTTGGTAAATGTTGCTCTAGTTAGTCCTGACTGTTTTTTCATAAACCATTTAATCATTTTTATTTTTGATATAATATATATTTTTGATATATTATATATGGAGTATACATTTTTACCAATATTGTGATTTCATTTTGATTTTGTCATGGTGTGCATATATTCTCTCCCTCTCTCTCTCTCATTTCTTTAACATCATCTAAAGCCTTCTCTCTCTCTCTCTCTCTCTCTCTCTCTCTCTCTCTCTCTCTCTTGTTGGCTCTCTTAACACTACACCATAACCCTCAAATCCCCAATCACATGCAATGGATTGTCCTCAAACCCAATCACTCTCCAAAACCCTAGACTAATTCACGCCATTTTCCCTACTGTGTCATCCAAGAAGTCTTCTTAGATTTTCAACCGCAAAGGAATTGAAGTCTCGATTCCCAACGTCATCAACGTAATTAACATTAACATCATCAACATCAGCAACATCAACTACATCATTAACATCATCAATACCATCAACATCACCAACATCAACCACATTAGCGACATCATCAACATCAACTACATCATCAACATCAGCGACATCATCAACATCAGCAATCAACATCAACTGCATCATCAACATCAGAACCCTTACGATGTTACCAGCCACTGACCCAATAATATTGCAAATCAGAACATAAAAACCACAAAACATACCTCCATTTCCCATTGTCATGCTTCGACTTCTCTGAATTTAACATGACCACTCTACGGTTCTAACGTTGAGTGATGCCTTGGTTGCAATCTAGGGTCACGATTTCGCTATCCGATGTGAATGTCGATGATACCGGCAAATTAGCGACGCTAATATGCCAATGTCACGGCCGACAGTGGATCACAATTCAAGAACCCTCAATGTCCACGCTTAAACGCCTTCGCAACTGTGCTAAAAGGGGGTTTTAAGCTTTTTTAGGGTTTTGGTGGGTGATATGCGATGTTATTTATGGGATGAATATCACATAATCAACATCGCCCCTTTCTACGCCTCAATCAAGATTGACGATGATCCAATCCCTAACATTTGTATGGAAATCCAAAAGTTTCTATCCTACATCGTCCATTTTGTTCGGGATGGAGGGAAAAACGGAAAAATGCAATAGTATGCTTTGGATATTTTGGTAACTCCAACATCACGAAAAAACCACAAATACCCCTTTCCAAATACAGCCCATTTCCAAACTACACGGGGTCCAACGTAATTAACATTCACATAAGACTTTTCAAGCTATAAAAAAAATGTTAGGACTAAATGGTGTCACATATCATAATTTGAGATTTACTGGTGTTTTACCCTTTAATTTAACTAAATAAGATTTTAGTCTAATTGTAAAATGATACATGTATTCTAAAAATTATAAAATTCAGAAAAATTGAGAGAAATTCATTGTCACTAACATTGATTGTTTAAAAATTATAAACATGCCACAATATATTTGATTATATTATACTAACATTCAACTTGTGTTATACATGGCTAAATGTATATGATAATGATATATATAAATATTTTATAAATTTTTAGATTATAAGTTTATGTTTATTTTTGAATTTTGAGATATATGATAAAGATATTTATTAACATTGCATGAATTTTTAGAGCATAAAATTTAGAGCCCTATCTATTTTAATCCAACAACTAGCCTAGGTGCAACTTGGGTTCGCCCAACTTAAGTAATTTAAATTCGTAAAATTTTGAAACCTTAAGTAATTTAAGATCGTAAAATTTTAAACCTTAAAGACCCAACAACGTATTTGCTTATATTATACTTGTGTAATGCCTGTCCAATACACAACTAATACATATTAGCATTTTTTTATTAAAAAATTAGTAAAACATCTCTATCCAACTTTTAGTAGTAAGAAAGATCCAATATTTTTTTTTTCTTATTAGTTAAAGTCCTTAATAATATTTAGAGACATTTTCAGTTTGTCACAAAGAAATTTCAAATTTCTTTATGCAAGCTAAAATTTCTCTATCTGTGCCGAAATTCCTCCGTGAAAATATTGAGGGATCCCTACAGCTATGAAGATTTTTTGGTTTTTGGGCTAAAATTTACAACAAAAAAAAAAGTATTGACTAAAATAATCAATAAGATAAAATGTCTTATCAAAACTATAATTCTTTTACTTTTTCTCTCACAAATATCACATTCAATTATAAAAAAATATAACTCTTTCCAAATATAAAAATTATATCTTATTAAAATAGTTAAAAACTAAAATAACTTATTAAACATAGCCAACTTATTTGTCCCATTTTATTTCACTTTTTATATGTAATTTAAAATAATCTAAATATCATTATTTAAGAAAAATAAAAACAAATATATTTTAAGTCACCGTTGCTTCCACTAAAGTTGAAAGTTTAGTTGACAAATGATTTCTACAACTTTCACAAATGACTAGTTGGACCCCCACCCGCTCCGCGCGTGGGGATCGTGGCATAGTGTATCAAGATTAAATTAGTAGCCGTTACTCCATTTTTTTAAATTTTCCAGATAAATAAAACCCATCCACATCACGAGGAGCTATGCTCATGGACTATGTACAGACAAAAATGCAAATATGATTAATTGTTAATAAAATACAACAAAAATATGTTAGTGTAATGGGGTCAAGGATTTGCTTACTAAGAACTATACATTCACATATTGCATTAATGTGAAAGTGGATATTGGAGGAGCAAAATCATCGTCAAGAATTCTAAATTGTCACCAACTTACATCTACAAGAAAAAGAAGAAAAAAAAAAGTTTCACACAGTTGCTGTTTCTTAATCCCTTGAAGAATCAAAGCTTGTAGTATTCAGAGCACAAATAATAAATAATAATGGAGAAGTTTGAGATTATTATCTTTAATTTCTCATCTACACATGGACGCAATGCATGCTATCATACTTTTTATTAGCATGCTAATGCTTAATATGTCAGAATCCAAACCAGTACCTTATCTTCCATGACATTTCCTAAAACAAAAGTCAAAGGACAAGACCAAAGTAGTTAATGACATTTAATAGAACTCAAGCCCCTGCTCCTCCTTTATTATTCTTTGTCGACACTTGATCAAGAATCTGTAGCATCAAGAGATAAACAAAAGAATACTGTACAAAATATCGCAGACCTAGCCGACATGACTGAAAGAAGCCCAAATCTAAGCAAGCATACCACCAGGCTCTAGGTCAACTTAGAAGATGCTCAAAAAATCAGGGTCAACTCAAGGAAACACACAGACAATAATTGTTTGGTACTTTCAATATATTTACTTCCAATTGTTTGTTAAACTCCAACAAAATACATCAATCCATGCAGCCCAATTGTCTAACCCAAAATACTTCAAATATACTATCAACATATTTTTTTTTCTTTTTGACAAGTGTCTAACGCAAATGACTTTCTAGCAAATCAATTGTTAGTATTAACATAAAAATTATGCTAAATTCTTAAATTCACTACTTCATTGTGGTAAGATCACTTCTTAATCAGTTAGCTCGTTCAAGGGAAACTGAACATAAACCCAAAGTACATACGGTGGAAGAAAATTTAACATGAAAATATAAAGAAATTGGAAAAACGTCATTACTTAAAATTGCTAAAAGTACTTAGAGGCATAATCTGTAAGGAAATATGAATGCCTAAGAAGTGAGAGGACAAACTAACTGTCATAACAATTTCTGAAAATTTTAGAAGTACAATCTCCATGGCACAAACTAATATGCGTATGCATAATCAAAACAACAATAAAAACCATGTAATACTGTCAAAAGCAAACAGACTGCTTCAATCCATAAACCAAGAGAATGATCGCTATTTGGGTAAATTTCACTAATTGAACTCAGTCAGCCAATGAACCAACAAGTTAAGACATTCTAATGTGTATTTGATTCAAATACTCAGACTTGAATGGGGTTCTCCTTTTCCTCATTCCTAATTGGTTACAATAATAAATTGCCCATTTGATTCAAATACTCAAACTTGAATGGGGTTCTCCTTTTCCTCATTCCTAATTGGTTACAATAATAAATTGCCCCATCATCCTGCCTCACTTATTTCTTATGCTCGATCAGTAGCCAGCAATCGAAATCTGAAGCTTTCTTGTTTCAGATATCTAGCAAGAAAAGCTGACAAAACAACCTCACGTGTTAGTTTTGTTCTTTTGATAAGAGACAATAACATTACGATAGCCAAAAGGGGGATAACTCATCGACACACATTGTTCATATGATGGCATCTCTGCATATGTTGGGTAGTAATTAATGTCAATAACAACATACCTATCCCAACTCTAGCCCCACAAACGACATCAAAGTTGAAAGATGTAGCTTCAATTGGCCGCTACAATGTCTTCCAAATTCATTATTTTGAAATAAGTATCATCACTCTTTTATACAGTTAGCCAAATGTGAAACCAGAAAAAGAGAAAATAATAATAAATGGACCTCCAAACTACCCAATTTGTCCTCCACTTACTCTGGCAACAACTTCCTCTACACAGGTCACATATTCTTTAACTACACATTTTAAGATCACCCATGGCTGAACAACTAAGCAGTACCATCACCACCAATAGCTTCCCAATCACCAGTGAAAAAAAATAACCTCTTATCTTCTTCTTACTTCTCCAAACTACCTAATTTCTTCTAATTTTTTTAAAATGATTCAATAAATATATTTAAAAAACTGCAATTATAAAAAATGAGTAATTTTTTTCAAAATGTACTTTATATAGAAACTATATGTGGAATTAAAAAAAAAAGGAAAAAGAAAAAGAAAAAGGAATAACTTCAAAACTAAGCCCGAGCCTCCGACAGGTCTAATAGTGTCCAAGCTTCCTCTTTAAATCAGTGACCAAATGTATTGACCCTGCGCTTGGGAATAACATACTTAAATGAACACAAATTCTTCAAGAAAACATTAATAATAATACCATCATCTTTGTGTCCACACGCATGCCTTGCTATGCTTGGCTTATGGAAATTTGACAATAATTTTTTACATTGGCTAAGAATAAGATACATCACAATGTACAATATTAGTATTATAATTCTCTTCTTAATTTACTCTATATTTCCCCTTAAAGTTCATAATTTATCCATAATAACCAACTCTCTTATCTTTTTATAAAGTTAGAGCTCAATACAGTTAAAATCCATCTGTCCAAACACAATCTTAATCTTTTATTGCAATTTTATGTTGTGTTTTGGGGTTATTCTTCTTCTTCTTCACTCCTTGTTTAGTTTTAAGTCAAATGTTGATTCTGTTAAAGATCTGAATTTCATGTATCCAGTAGATCTTTGTTCATTTGGTCACATTAATATCCTTTAATGGCTAAATGGGATTTGTAATCTCAATTGCTCTGCCACACTGCTACTGCTCCCCCATTGTGCTTCCAGTTTCCAGTATAAATTTTAGGTTCCTATTGCTTCTCAATTTGTAATTAGTTATAATGAAATTTTGTTCCGTGAATCTTACTCTCTGTTTGGATGGAGTGATGTGGTAAAAAATGAAGAGGAAGTGATGTTTGGTTTATGAATTAGGTGAGGTATGCTGAGAATTGTTTCATTTAATTTTGGTGAGGATGAACTGAGTAGTTACACAATTTTTATGGGTAAATTACATTGATTTTATTAGATGAAAGGGGATGTGACTTTTGCTATTACCTGTTTGGTTTTTTGCATCAAAGAAAAGAAAGAACAAGAAAAACAAAGGGGCAGCCCAATGGCCAATTCACAATCCTCTTTCTTGGATGAAATCAGGAGAATTTTGTTCACCACATCACAAGAGTCCCTAACACTTTGCACAGATCCTACCATGCTCACGATTCATGATCATCTATCCATCCATCCATCCCAAAAGAGGGTCCACATTAGAAGTATGAAAAAATTCCTAGAGAAGCCAAATCACCCTAACCTCAACCATCTCAAATTTTATTGTACTTTTTAATTACACAAAATTACATGAAGATATCAATCCCAACGTTTAAGAAAAACAAATTATTTAATTATAAGATTACTGTGTGTTTAATGAATATTTACTTTTGGAGGTTGCACCTGCGTCCAGTTTATGGCTGTTTAGTATGAACAACTATAAATTTAAAAATCATAAAAAGAGTATAATTATCATCAAAAGCTTAGAAGCAAAAGGAAAGAACTAAAGATCATTTATCAAACTCACAAGTGTATGAAATTCAAATGAAAAGGATAAAAGAGATTGCCATCTGGGGTAAAGTGTAATCATCCCTGAAAAGAAACCTGAAATTATGGGCAAAAATGCAAAAGCTAAAGCTCATGAAACCTTTAACAAAAACTCTCTCATTTGCTTGAATTAGATATGTATGTTATTATACTTGGAATTTTAGCTTTCATCACTATGAAGTCAGTAAGTTTAATTGTTTAGAAGCACATTATTTTATTTTAATTTGTGTTTTTAGTGCAATCGAGGCCAAAGGCCAAGTAGACAAACAAAAGAAAAAAAAAAATAGTGCTGTCTATGTACACCCAAAGTTTTCCCCAACATTTGGTGAATCATACGTTGTTATTATTTATTATTTTTTATTTTTAATTTGGGAAAATAATTTCACATTATGATTGTCAATTTCGGTGTGTTTATTCGTTTAAGCATATGGTCAAGTACATGGTAGATAAAAAGTTTCACATTCTAATTGTCAATTTATGTGTGTGTTTCATTGTGGCATATGGTCTAGAACATGGTGGGCACTCCATTAAACAGTTGTGAGGAACAAGAGCAGAGCTCGAAATAAACAAGTTAGAAATAATTGCACAATAGACAAGAGGAAGAGAATGAAAAACAACAACAGTTACAAGCATAGACCAAAAAAATAGCAACAAATACACTACCAACAACAACAATAGTGACAATGGAAGAATGAATATATGTTTCACATTTAACAACAACTGAAAAATGAGCATACCTTTTCTGTTTCTTTGATAAAACTGATAGTGATTTTGCAGCAGTGAAATTGAACAATTTACACCTCTTAATAGCTTAGGACTTCAGGAACAAGCCTGGGTGAGAAGCCACCGCCTCGGCAGCAGCGGTACAACACCGCCTCGACAGCAGCGGTACAAGTGGCACGAATTGATGAAGAGGTCAGCACAGACGTCCAGCACAACAACGATATGAAGCACCGATGTTGGAAATTTCTAGGAGGATGCATAGCTACTTCGATGAGGAAGGAGTAGAATTCTTCTGGTAGACAACCAAGCGGTCCCATTTGTCTATTGGAAAACGTTAGAAAGCAAGCAGGCAAGAGCGTTATACCGCGTTATACACTTTTTATATAGGTTATAGATTAACAAAGCACTATAGTGAAATCAAGGTTGTTAAAATCGGGATCCTACGTTGGATCCTTGGAGGTGTTTATAGGATCGGATCGTAGAATCGGATCGAGAATCGTAAGATCCTACCAAAAAAGACAAATTACATAATAATTTAATATAAATAAATATTTCTTACAAAGTATACACAAAATGAGCCTATATTCTATTAAAAAGAAGTAAAGATATTGTGAAAAATACAATACTCTATGTAAAATGTACATATAATATTATACAATAGAAAACTCGATGGTAAAAGTTTTGTATTTCATCAAAAAAGAAAGTGAAGAAGAAGAAGAAGAAGAATTCTACAACAAAATACATTACAATCTACAATAATGCATAAAAAGTAAAGAAAAAATATTTAACAAAGTTGGATATGAAAATAAATTAAAAACTCAAAAGAGTAGCTTAATCGAATGATAAGGTTTGTCGTTAGCATCCTTGGTGGAGCGGATTCGAGTCACAAAAATAATCTCTCCAAAAATTGGGATAAAGTTGCAATCATCTTACCCTCCTTAGACTCCGCTAAAGCTAAGTTTGTTTTTCCGACTATTTAATTTTCTTAAATTACGGCAATATTTGAATGTTTGTTTCCTAATTTGTTTTTCTTAGTCTATTTGATTCAATACTACTTAATTTTTATTATTTATTTTGACAACATAAATTGATATTTAGACAACAAATATAAAATTTACAACAAAATATGTCATACAATACAAAACAAGG